ATAAAATCGAACTAAAAAACTTCACGTACATAAAATAAAGAATTTTTAAGATATGCACTAATATTAACAAACCTAAACATATATTTATTACCCCCAAAACTCATAATGCACATAAAATAAAGTATTTTTAAACTATGCATAATTTAAAAAAAAAAAAAAATAGACATGCTAACCAGTTGCAATCCTCAAATAATAAAATAATTTTCAAAACCAAGAAGCCAATTAAAATAAATCAAAAAAGCATAAGGGCATAACAAATAAAAAAATTCATAAGGTATGAATTATTTCGTCAAACTATTAAAGTCAGTTATTGAAACATCTTTAAATGCAAATCAGACGTATCGAGTTTAAAAGTTGCTCTCCTATAGCGCAACTCTTTCAATTATTACTTTATTTAACTCATTATAAATACCAAACGGAGTGAATGGTGGTCAAGTATATTAAGAGTTGCGTACCTAACAGTTGACTTTCGTTGAGAAATTAGTTGATTTCGGTTCACTTTTTAAGTTTTCCAGTTGATAAACTGTTCAAATTATTGGTGTTTGTATGATAATCAATCACTATTTGCAGAAAAAAATGCACAATTTTTACACTAGAATATATTTATTAAAAAAATGTATATAATGCAATGCTGTTTGCTCTTTTAACACAATTTATAAATATTAGTAAGATTCTCATGGGCCCCCTGAGTGCTTGGGGCCTCCGGGAACTGCTCGGGTGCGCCCATGCGTAAAGACGGTACTGTGTTTTCTGTTTTTTCATAAGATAAAAAATTTTAAGAATCTTTATAATTTCAACACAAAGCTGAATATATAAATAGGTATTTCAATATAGATAACTATCGAAACATGTACTTAAAATGTTGACTTTATTTTAATAATTTCTAAAACATATATTTAAAGAATATTTCCAGTTTAAATATTCTTAAAATTATAAAAAAAAGAAAAGAAAAAGAACTATTTTACTTCTTAAAAATGCGTAGAAAGTTTTGTTAATAAAAATTCAAACAAGAAGCTTTACTTAATATGTTCAAACTAAACTAAAAAAAATTACGTACTTTGAAATTGTTAACTTTCTAAGACATTAAGAATAAAAAATTATACAATTATGTTAATCACTCCTAACAACTCACAACCACTGAATAATTATAAAAATGCATATATATTTAATGAAATTTTTAATTTAAATATTCTTAAAATAAAAAAGACTTTAATTTTTTTTATAAAAATTGAAAAGTAGAAAAAGTAGAAAAGTAGTTTATTAGGAACAGTTTGTTCCCAATAAAAGTAGTTGGTTAAACTAAAAGAAAAAAACTTTAAAATTGTCAATATCATAAAATATTTACTGGGTAAAACTAAAAACATTTCTCTCTTTTTTAAAAAAGGAAAAGCTACGAAAAAAGATTTCATTTTAACTGTAAATACATTTTAAAATCGTACGAAACATGACTGAATTCAGGAATAATAAAAATTTTATATATTTTTTAATATAATATTGTTATCAAAATATATTTTGCAAAATCAAAATCCTAAAGATAACACTAATTTCTGATGATGTCAGTGAAACGTAGTGGTGGGCGTGTCAGGTATACCGCTCAATCTCTAGTCGCTCGTGAATCTCTGTATTCACTGCACTTGAAATCTAAATTACAAAAATTATTGTAATAAGTGGTAACATCTTTGTAATTAAAAATCCATTGAGAAAAAGGTGACTTACACTTAAAAACAAATTTAACGTCGAAATATTTAAGAGGAAAACAATGTTTCAGAGAATTGTGAATTCTTGAAAAATTAATAAAAACATGAATTCTGTAAAAAAAAATGGCACAAATGATATTATTTGAAGGGACGACATTTTTATTTTAAAGGAAAGTAAATCTTTTATAAGAGATTTAAAGTGTGAATGTTTGTAAATATAAAAGAATTTGCGAAGAGATGACGTTATTGTTATTTTTTTTGTGAAGATTTTTGATCGAAAGATTTTTTTTTTTTTTTTTACGAATGAAATTAACAATAAAATGGTGAATGAAATCGACTTCTTATTCAACCAAAAAATCTTTTGAGAAAAAAGCAATTAATTTGTTTTGAAAATTTTTGATGAACCTAGTTCAAATCGGCGAAAAGATATGATACTGCAATAACTCACACACTTACTAACTTATGAGTTGATATAAGATTTAGAATTTATGTTACTGTTGAGACTATAAGGAAATATTGATTTAAATTTCACTCCATAAAAAAGATTCAAGGTTTAAACCTAAATTAGTAGAGTATCATCACAACAATCGAAATACTAAAATTGCTAAAATCATGTAACTGAAAATACTGTATTTCAAAACATTCAAAGTTGTTGCTCTATTTCTTAATTTAGTATATTCTCGATATATCGAACTTCGATGTCTCAAAAACCTTGTTATATCAAAAAAATATTTTTTTCCTTGGTATAGTATGCATCCGAGAAATTTGAATTCCCATGCCGAAGGGTTTCTTCTCAAAACCTTGTTATGTCGAATTTTTTTTCGAAATAGAAAATAAATTTTTTCGGAAAAATCACAAAGTAAGTTTATTGTAAGCCCATTCTTTTCTATTTGATGCATAATTTTTCGTCTTACTTTTAAAAATAAAATTATCATTGCTATATTTAGAGTTTTAGTCAAATATCATTATATATTTATTAGTAGTCATTCTTATGTATGATGACTCTACTTTTTCGAGAAATATATTAGAATATATTTTTTTACTTTTTAAAACATATTTAATTCTGAACTCGAAATTAGCGTCCCTTCAATTTTGAGTCATCGAGAGTAATATTGTATATGTTTTTTATTGCTAATTTGAAGATTTGAAGTAGTCGACGTTTGTCCAACATATTTTAAATGTTTTACGCATTATCATGTAAATAATATTAGATTGTTTGTCGAAATTCACACTGTTCATTATTCTTGCAAAGGCTTTCAAACAAAATAGTTGCAAAAGACATATTTAGATTAAATATTTTTAATTCTAGGAATATCTAGATATAACGAATTAAATAAACCAATGAATAGTGTGTATTTGAATTAACTTACCAGATGAACTAAACTGAAAATATAAAGTCAAAATAATGAATTATAATTATTCAACGGGAAGTTCGCAAAAACCTAATTAAATATAATGAATTAGTATTTAGAAAAATTTCGGGAACTTCGTGAAAAAAAAAAAAATTCAATTAAAGCCATTATACTCTAGTAAACACTCGCAATAGCTGATGGAGAAAATTAGAACAAATATATTATAAAATATGATAAAAATATAATATTAATAAATATAAAAATAATAAAATATATATAATATAAATAAAACAAATTCAAGTTTTGAGATGCTAGTGCCATATGAAAATTTTTTAAGAAACTAAATAAGCTTGAATAGGAAAAGAAGATAGAAATCTGTTTTCTGTGGAATGAGAATGAAAACGTATTTAAAATGAAAGCAACGAAATTAATTTATCCAGATTTTCTCAAAAACGTCATTCTTTTTACAAAAGTAATCTAAACTTACTATTAGAGTATTTACTTAAGATGGAATTCCTTAGTGCAAGTAGGTTGAATAATGTAGTAAGTGCTGCTCTCTATCTTAGTTGGAATCAACTAAACAAAGTTTTTATGAAGCGGATTTTATGAAAAATATTTAAAACTAAATGTAATTTTCAAGGAAAAAAAATTATGTATATAGGGTGTAAAAATAATAAAAGAAGCAACGAAAAATGTTTTGGTGCATGGACACTGATTTTACATTATTATGCACTTCAATATTTTGAGATCATAAGAAATCAGAATTGCGTTGGATTATTGAATGCTTTTCGATGTTTTTAAATGTGAAAAGCATAATTTTTGTCTGAAAATAAAATCTTTAGACCTGAACAAGCTTCATTCTACGTCTACAGATGTTATTCATTCACATTTAGACTGACTCCTTTTTTTTCTTTCAATATCAGACTCTTGTTATTCTCTTCGTAATTAGAGCAGGCATCTCTCAAGGTTACGTGATCTTTCCACTCTCTTTACTTTATCCCTACGAAAATATTGCTTTTTTTCTCAATCCAGTGCATACCTAGTGAAACGCATTGCACCAAACGGGAAAGTGGGAAAAATCACTCAAAACTCGAGACGTCTATTTTATTTACATAGTTTAAGAAAGGAGAGATATTTTTTTTTCGTTTGAAAGTAATGATTCTTCAAGAAGATTTTGTGTCACTTTGCGACGCGATTGTATCTTTTTCTTGCCTCTTGCTTTTGATTGTACCCTGCTTCTTACTTTTCATTAAATAGTCTAACTCATTTAAAATGGATGAAAATCGAAGGAATTAGCTAGCACTTTTTTAAAAATTTCACAAAACTGGAAAAAAATGCGATTGTTACCAAAATGCTGATCTCTTACCTGAATGAAGAGATTTGGAAATTTTCCTGGTTTTTGTTATGTTACTTTACTTCTCGTTCTTTAATGTGAGTAAGAATACATAAAACAAAATCCTTTATGAAATGTTTTATGAATTATTTTAAATGGATTTATTTGTAATTGTATAACCTGACATTATTTTCATAATTTTAAGAACTAAATCATATTTAACTTATAGGAGCGACACTCATTTTATTTCAAGCAAAATAAAAAAATAAATAAGGACAAATAATATAAAATGAAATGAAATACAATGCGATGAGATGAGATAAGATAAAATGAACTGAAATAAAAAATAAAATAAATATTAAATAAAATAAAAATAAGTAATAAGAATAAATGAATACAAAAATGAAAGTTAAAAACAAACTCAAACAAAAAAAAGAAACAAAACAAGCATTTAAATGAATAAATTTAATGAAATAAAATTAAATAAAATTAAATAATAATAATAAAAAGGAACCGTGCTCTTCAGAAGTGGCCTTAAGTTGATGTTACCCCTGCTTCAATCACCCCCCCCCCAATTTTTTCCCTGTTCCTTAGTTCATAAAGACACTAATGAGATAGAAACTCATAAAGGAAGTGCATTGGAATAATTAACAGGGAACGAACATAACAGAAGCGTGGATATCAAGAATAATACTGTGAGATTATCATTTCAAGAGTGTTTTTCGAAGAATTTTCGTCCACTCAGGTAAGCTTCATTTCTCTTTATTTCTGAAGTAGAATAATTGATACATCTCCCTACTTAATTGCATATCCCTCTCTTACGAATGAAATTGAACGGAACCAAATCAGGAAATTAATGTTACATTTCCTCGTTTAAACGGATACTTGTTGTTTTCAGTGCCCGCTTAATTGCATAAAGAAGAGGCACTGAAAAGAAAAGAAAAATAATTTTTAAGAAATGTTTCACCAGTTAGAATGGAATTAGCATTTTTCTATTATGAAGATAAGAATACGATGGGTAAGTTACTTTAATAGGAACTTCCTGTTCATTTGTTGCTCTACATGGGTATTAGGGGTATAGTGTGAAGAATAAATCTAATGGCAGTTATACATTGAAGTAAATAAACCCTTCTTTGACTGACTTCACTCACACATCATTTAGAATGTAAAAAGTGATTTGTTTTGCGGTCAAGACTTGCACTCCCCTCCTAGTGCGATATTTTAGTTTTGATAAGAAAAGGTTTCAAAAGCCTGAAACACAGAGCAATTTTCTCTTAAGTAGAATAATCGTTGCTTACTCCAGTGAACTATAATTTTTATGATGATGACAGTTTTAAAGACAATTGTTAATGGATCATAAAGTAGAGTTTATTTAATCAAAAAACTACACTATGCATTAAATACCATAAAAAGTCATATTAAATACCATATTTCTCAAAAATGTACAATTTAATAGTAAATATAGCACTCCCCTCTTAATTGAATAGAGTTGGTTGGAACCAATGTCATTCCTTTAAGCGGGGTTGAGTGTACATATATATGAAGCAATTTCTTTTATTTTATTATTCACATCCGGCATTTCGCTCTATTTTTAAATTCAAGTATGCAAAAGCTAACATTTTTATGTTTTTTCCTTTACTAAATGTAAGAATTGTATTATATTTCCTCGATCCATTTCATTGACCCATTGTAATTACTAAACGTTTCCCTTTTTGCATCATCGCATTTTTTTTTTGCAAGATTTTCCCTAGCTTTCGAGAGTGAAGCGCTTCGTTGTTGGATTATTCAGCTCCTTCATTCAATGATTACGTAATAAAATTTTTTATTTAAGTTATTCTAATAAAAATTTTCATTTTTCAGCTTTTGATTTTTTTTCTTAATTTCTCAAAAAATACTGAGAAGTTTATTTTGTAACATCAGAAGTGTTTAGTTCATGCGATTTTTCATACTTTGCAATAAAATGTAAAGCTTTCAGAGGTTTGAGAGATCGATAATAAATTAAGAAGGCAAGCAAGTATTTTTGAACACCCTATGCCAGAAAATAAAACAATAAATTTGTAACTTGTATCAATTACTTAAGTTGTTATTTGAATAACTGCTTAAAATTTCGTAAATTTAGTTTAAATATTTATAGAGATATGAACATTTTTATAAAACACTCATTTTTCTGTCGTATGATTTTTTGCCATAATTTCAAAAATAAAAATATTCAGTAAAATTAAGCGAAGTTTTTGGATCAAAAAGTTTGGATTATTATTTTAAAATTTGACAAGAAAAATTGTTACAAAATACTCAAGATATGACTATTTATAGTAGTTGAAAATATTATTTTTTCATAATTTTGTAGTGAATCGTATTTAGCATCTAATGGAAAAATTTGATTTAACTATCTTAAGAAGATTATAAAGTAATTGTCTAAGAAGTAATTTTTAAAAGAATGCTCAATATGATCAAGGGTTTTTTCATAAATTATATTAAGAAGTATTGCAAATTTCACTACCTAATAATAATCGGACAGCAAGGATGCGCAAGAAATATATGTATTTACAATGTATGTTTGCTATGTACAATATGTACATTGTGTGTTAAATTCTTTCGCCATCATGGAAATGTGTTTTCACCTACCGAGAGATACAAAACATCGTTTTTTAACATCTTATATTAACCATGAAACTAAGGTAAGGTAAATGTGGATATTTATTTTTTGTTATTACAACAACCCAAAATCATTATTCCAGCGTAATGTTATTTTATTAAGTTCTTATGCTTAATTATGTTAAAAAGAACTTTAGAACAGTTAAGCTATTTAAGCTATCGTTTTAAAATTTGTTCTAAAATCCGTAAAACTCATTCTTTTATTGTTCTGGAATGCTCTTACGATACTCTTATTCCTGAGTATAATTTCCACATTTTTATGTATGTTTTATGGAACGTTTTTTATATATATATATATAAACTAACTAACTCAGTGGCGCGACAGCCCATTAAGAGGGCCAAGGCCGACTGTGCCCATCTCAGTTTTCTTGACCTTGGGCTCTGGGGTGCAGGAGCATATGTTCCGGTCAGGTGGTCAGCCGAACGCGGAACCCCCAGTGTTAGTTCCCAAGCATGCTTGGTACTCATTTTATCGACCCACTGAAGGGATGAAAGGCTGAGNAATTTTGTAGTGAATCGTATTTAGCATCTAATGGAAAAAATTTGACTTAACTATCTTAAGAAGATTATAAAGTAATTCTCTAAGAAGTAATTTTTAAAAGAATGCTCAAAATCATCAAGGGTTTTTTCATAAATTATATTAAGAACAGGGGTCTGTCCAGACATTTTGTGAAGGGTCCGTTTTTGTAAAATTGTGAAAAAATTACTCGTAATTTGTGAATATAAAATAAACGTTGAGTTACATTCTTTTAACCAGGGTCCGCTTTTGTGAATGTGTGCAAATAGGGTCCGTTATTGCAAAAAAAACTTTTTCAAGGAGTTTTTAAATTGTAAAGACATACAAGATTATGCTCAACACTGATTATGCTTTTTTATCATCTTATATTAACCATGAAACTAAGGTAAGGTAAATGTGGATATTTATTTTTTGTTATTACAACAACCCAACATCATCATTCCAGCGTAATGTTATTTTATTAAGTTCTTATGCTTCATTATGTTAGAAAGAACTTTAGAACAGTTAAGCTATCGTTTTAAAATTTGTTCTAAAATCTGTAAAACTCATTCTTTTATTGTTCTGGAATGCTCTTACGATACTCTTATTACTGAGTATAGTTTCCACATTTTTATATATGTTTTATGAAACGTTTTTTCTGTCGTCTAAAAATTTCTATGAACTAAGCATTACGTTATAAAAATAATAAATTTGTTGTTTCAAACATTTTAGAAATTTACATGAGAATTCTTATTTATTTATTATTTATTCAAATAATTTTTAATTGATATAGAACAATTTTAAATATCGCTTGATTTTATGATTTTGTCGTTATACTTAAAAGTTGTTAAAACATTAATAATTGAGATACGTTGTATTTATTGATTTGAACATATATTTAGACATACATACATTGTACCTATGTACATAGATTCATTGGACTTAAATGAATTGTAAATATTAAATACGTTCGACAAGCATGTAAGTACAAGTGTACAAATTTGTACTAAAACTTTATGTCCAATTTTATGTATGCACATAAGTTCAATATATGTAAGTACATTTTTTCACTTCATGCATGTCGAATATACGTAAGTACATTTGTACAATATATGCGTGAATGTGCGCATGCAAAATATATGTATGTATAATGTATGTCGTACAAAAATATATTATGCAAATGTGGAAACATACATTTAACATACGTACATAACATAACATAACATAACATAACATAACATAACATAAGTACATGCACACATTGGGCATGCAAGTATTGTGCATAAGTACATTCATATATTGTATCTATGTACATATATGCATACAATGGACATACATATATTGTATATGCAGGCATGGAACATTCATAAAATGTAAAGTTAAAAAAATGGACCACCAGAAACAACTTTTAATCTAATGATAAAATCCTCATGGTCTAGGACTTAATCGCAATACTTTAAGGGATGACCTTAAATATACAAATTAATTAGTGCTAACGATATTTTAATTTACAAAATCAAACACAAAAGCGGATTTTTTCTGAATAAACATACCGTTTTTTTTGCAGTGGATTCGAATTTCTGATTCTGAAAAGAGAGACGGGTAGCCGCAATAGTTCGGTCATTAGAGAGATCCAAAGTTTGAACCACTTAATGTTAACTTTACTTTTTGTGTATTTCACCTTTTCTCGAGAACTTCCTAAGCGAATTGAAAATTTTTTGTCCACAATTATAAAATTTGTTTATTCAAAGAAAATTCCATGCAAAACATAACTTTTAGTAAATATTTATTATTTTTCATTATTTTAACCCAGCTATTAAAAATGTGATATTTTTCAAAATTCTATCTCTCATTAACTATTTCGCTCAGATTTTGCATTTTATTCAAAACAATGTAAAAATTTGTATAACTTACCCTAAAGCGTTACTTATAACAAGATTCAAATTATATCCTGCAAACCAATACTTACCACTTTTTAAAAAATTTTTTTTTTAAAGATTTTACGTTATTTAATGTTTCTGTCACAATTTGATTACTAAAAAAAATTTTTTAAGTGTTTTTTACCAAAATTTTTTACAGGGAATTTGATAAGATAATGAACTGAATTTTAAATCACTACTAGGCTCAGACACTTACGTTAGCCCGCCCAGGCAAATTACTTCGCAATCGTCTGCTCCGATCATTCCTAAGGGCAGTTCTGATAGAAATATTTGACTAATATAACTTTAACTGAAGTCTATACTGAATTAGACATTTAATTAACAATTTTGTCAATAAATGCTGGAAACCTTTAATTAGATCACCTTTAGGCACTTAATAAAACTTTTTAACGACGTTTCATGATTTCCATTCGAATTAGAGAATGGACTGTCGTTATGAACGCGACATATTTGTAATTAGGAAAAAGCACGAATTCATATTTTTGGCAGATTGCTATTTATTGAAGTGAAACTTCTAATGCAACTTCCAACAAGGTTGCTTCAAACGTTTAACACTACCATGGCAACGAGCGGCCTGTGATCCTTGCTTGCAGGAGATTTTAATGTGAATTTCTCGTTACCTGAAACATTATTAACCTTCCTTAAGGACAAATTTGGATTGGAAATAATTAATGGTAGGTATGATCCAACAACCAAAGGGGGAACTACCATTGATGCAGTTTTTGCAAGATATATTGAAAAAATGGAACTCAAACATTTCGTATCTTACTTTAGTTATCATAATCACATTGTAAATGTTATAGACTTGGATATTTCTCCACTCGAAAATGATAATTAAAAGATGCGATCAATTGTGAATTGTAAGCAATGTTAATAAAGTTTGTCTTAAAGAAACAATATGATTTCACTAAAAATCAATTTCTACCC